TTGCTGTCTGTGCCGGTGGCCTGCAAGTAAGAGGGTGTCTGATAGGCAGGTGCCTTGAAGTCAAGTCTAAACTGGGAGTTGATGACAAGCTGCACAGTGAGTATTTGACAGTTTTGACACACGGGGCTACCTGATCCACGGTTCACATGCCTTGCAAGTCTCTTGACCTCCGCCGGTGAACTGAAGACAGCAGCTCTCTTCTCCGTGCTGGTCTAGGAAGTCTATGTCCAGTATGGCATGCCCTGCATTTTACAGGTGAATGCTTAGTCACCTACACCTACGCTGCAGAGCCTGCCGGGAGCATCCAAGAGAGCCCACCCCTCCCAGCCCCCTCCCCCCAGGAAAACTCGGCTGCCACTTAGCATGCCTCTGTCTTCCTGGGCAGACTCACTCCGTGGCCACTGTCCTTCCTGGTGGTCTGTCTAGGAAAAACTAGGCATCTCCTTGCAGCAGAAGACTGAGGACAAAGGCTAGGTGGAATGAGAACAGGGCTCAGCGTAGGACAACCCCGTGGGGTGGGTGGGAACTGTCCCCACCGTCCCAAATAAGACCCCTTCCTAGGCAAGTGGATTCCTGCCATTCAAAGCACAGTCTCTACACCCTGGCTCCTTGGGGGCTTCTGAGGTCAAAGGGAACCACAGGCTGTCCCTTCTCTTTCCCAGGCCATCCTCATTCCAGACCAACCCCATCCCCTCATCTCATCCACTGTAAATGTTTTCGGAACCAGGGGTAGCCGGGTAGTGTAGACCTTGCCGAGTCAGGGTAAGACAGGCTTTCTACCTCCCTGCTGTTGTTGTGGTCTGTCAAGTACTCTTGCCCTTAGCCAAAACTGGCTGTACCAAAGTTGCTGTGAGACCTTGGGTGACTGTCCAGGTAGCTTGCTGCTTCTGCCCTCGCTGCACCTTTTGGAAGTTGCCCATCCGCACTTCCAGCCTACCCTAGTATCGTTATTTTCTTTCTCGGGTCTTGATGAGGTTGAAGATTAAACTATCACAACTATTATTCTCTCTTCCTAGTTAGCTATATTAGGTACTAGACTTAAGCTTTCCAGCTTAGGACAACTCTACTGTAAACTCCGTTATGCCTTCACCCTAGGACTAGATATGTAGGTCTTAAGTTTGTATGTTCTCGATTTTCCTTTTCTTAGAGCACACTTGTTGTTCACAGTTTTATCTAGTTTTTTTTTTTTTTTTTTTTTTTTTTTTTTTAATCAAGACTAAATCCTTTCTTTAGACTAAAAGGGGGATTGTAGTGAGGTATTCACTTTGCTTCTGTGGCACTGGCCCATTGGTGGGGTGGAGCCAGGGGTGGAAGTGACCTGTGGAACTAGGTCTGAGGAAGAGCTAGGGAACGCTCTCTTGCTGGCAGGATGTGGGGAGGAGAGCATCTGGTGGAACTTGCTGGTGTTCATCTGTCTAGGTTGTGAGTTATTTCTCCCTGAATAAACACCTATTCCGCCTATTTGTTTATCCTGATCCTTACTAAACTGCAATATGGTGGGGATGCTGGCGCTCCCAGCACCTGATATCCTCCAACGCTCTTGCCTCCACACAATCAGGATCACGCCTGTGGTTCTTCTGTAGACAACTTCCCAGTTGCGGCCAAATGTACATAGCATAAAGATTCACCCACTGTAAGTGCTGTTCACACGTGTCGATGCCACTTGCCTATGTCCACCTCCCTGAGCCAGAACTGTCCCCGTTAAACACTGTTACTCCATCTCCCACCCGGGCTCTTGATAATTGTTCTATCTTCCGGACCATGAGTTTGACAGCTCTGGGCCCCTGCTGTAATTGGGGTCATGCAGAATCTTTCCTTTTGGGGGCCGTTTGTCTCCTTAGCAATACATCCTCAAGGTTCACCTGTGCTGGGTACAGATGAGCCATCTCCCCTCTATAGATTATCTGTCCGTTGGTCTGTGAACACCTGGGTGGCCTTGGCTCCTTGGCTACCGTGTATGGCCCAGCTGTGAGCTCCTGTATGAAAATGTTTGAGTCTGCTTTTTAACTTTTTGCGCATAGATACAGAGGCGGAATTTCAGAACTGCAAAGTAATTCCATTAAATGTTGTCCTCCCTCCAAACTGTTTATCAAGGTGCTGTACTCCCATCCAAAATGAGAGCAGAGTATTGCCCCGCAGCCTCTCCAAGGCCCCTTTCACATTCAAGAAGCTCCTCAGCCCGTTTATGAAGAAGAGACTGGGTTCGTTCGTGACTTTCAGCATAACCATGGCAACTCAGTTTGCAGGAGCCCCCACCCCCCACCCCCACGGACAGAATAGTGTGATTACTCAATGGAAGGGTCTTGCCAACTCCAGACTGTGTTCCGTTTCATCTACCGCCCTCCTCCCCCAGACTTACTGAACTCCTTGTAGGGAGCTCAGGAAGATGTAGGAAGGGCAACTTGGAGAAGGACCCCTCCCTCCCACCCCAGGCTGCTGCGGTGACAGTCGGATCCCTACAACCCCCTCCCCCCATCCCACAGTGCTTCTGCAAGGCAAAACCCGCCAGCCAGAGGCACCCTTCACCCCTCCCCCTTTGCAGCTACTCAAGTCGATGGTGTGAGCCAGGAGCCCAGTGAGTTTCCCACACTTTGGCCCCATTCACAGTGTTAAACGTCCCACAAAGGCCAGGCGTGTGCCTCAGAGGCCGCCCGGGCTGCCATCTGGCCCGCACTCGGGGAGGCAACCAGCCTTTCATCCGGCTGGGATTTAACACCATCCATTTCATATTTCCCACAACTGAAAATTGGATCAAAGCTGCTCGGGTTCAGGGGGGGTAGTGAGGAGCAGCAGGGAGGGGTGGCCCTCCCCCCTCCCCGAGGCCCACCCACCACCCTCACCCCTAGTAGGTCCCGCTCCTAGCCCATCACGGGTGGGCGGGCGGTTGGGGTGGGATGGAGGTTGGACAACATCTCCTGGCACGCGTCTCATTTGGGTGAGGAGCTGCTGGTTCAGTGGAGGTTACTGGGAGTGCGGGACGCAAGCCTATGTCGACTGTCCCCACCAAAGCCTGGGGGAGCAAAGTCTGGGCCTGGGTGACCCCCAGTGCAGTCTTGTTGCTAGCAGCCAGGTGCAAATAAGGGCACATAAGGGCTCAGACCTTGTTTCCAGTTGGTGGGTTCCAGGCTCTCCCTGCTCTGCTGGATCGCCTGGCTGCTTCTGAGCCCCGAGTTGGCACAGTGACACAGGACAGACACACAGGTGACCAGGTCATTACACTCTCCACCCCCAGGGGGCCCAGGTCTATAACGTGGCTAAATTTGACTGCCATATGGTATGAGCCTCTTCTGGATTGCAAACAACACTCCACTGAGTGCCGCCAGGACTCTCCCTCCTTTGTAGATGTGGGGGCTGCTTGCCCGCCACACAGTACCAGCCACTGCCAGACCTTGGGATTGTAGAAGCAGAAGCCTAGGCATGCAACCCTAAGCCTCCCCCCTTCTATATCAGACAAGTACCTCAGAGAGGAGTCTCCAGCTCAGGGTGAGGGGTGTGGCATGGTCTAGGGGAGGTGAATATGTGTACCTGTAGCTTGCCACGGACAGGCCATCCTATGCTGTCTCAAACCAAGCCTCCCCCACTATACCAGCCGGTTCTATCCATGGTAACCAGCTACTCCTTGTGCTAGGCCTGGCAAAGAGACCACTCACTGCAGTGGAGTCACTGAGTGGGCTCTAGTGAAGGCCCTTCAATTCCTGGACTCCATCAAACACGGCCAACATCCATCCAGAGAGCCCGGTCTCAGCTCTGGCTGGGGTGTTCTGGCGCCAGCCCTGCTACGTGGACCTGGCTAGGCCTTAGGTTGCCCCTGGGAGAAAGCACAGGCCTCATCTCCTCCCTCAGCCCCTACAGAGTATCATAGAAGTAGTTCGGGTTCCAGGTGTATGGGCACTCTCCCACATGGCCATTCCCTAGGGGTCTAGGGGGGGACTAGTCAGGTCACCCTGCCAGATACCACAGTTATAAGTTCATCCAAAGGGGCCCAACTATGAGTGTCTTATTCTCAGCTCTGCCACCTTGCACCCACGCACGAAAAATGCCATGAAAAGCAGGAACACACACACGTGCACACACGCACACGCACACTGAGACAGGGATGGGAGGGGTTGCTTCGAGAGTAGTTAAGGACAGATGAGGAGCCATGCATGAGTAGTGACCACAGACAGCATGCTCTTCCTATTTCAGAGACGTATCGTGGTACTCAGGTCCACACGAGGTAGGAAGAAGGCGTCAAGGGCACTGGCTGGCCCAGCCCAGACACCCTGTGAGTGAGTGAGTGCAGGGATTCCTGAAGCTTTCTGGGTACAGACAGACAGGGACGGACGGATGGGGGGATGGATGGGGCTTCTGACTGTAAGGCACTACCCAGAGCAAATTCGGGTAGCCTGATGCTTAGCACGCATCTCCCTCTCATCCTCTACCTGTAGACAGTGTGACAGCCGCACCTGTTTGAGAGAGCGTGGCCCACTTCAATACACTCTGCCTATGGGCAACAGGTCCCAAATGGGGTGGGCACCCTCCCCCTGGAAGCCGCTGTTTGTTAATTGTGAGACTCTCCCTTTTCTGCGCCTGTGGCCTCTGCCAGCCAGCGGTGGGGAGCTGCTGGGGAGTGGGAGGGAAGAAGGCAGAGAAGGGGGGCGCTCCTTCCTGCCCTCCCCACCTCCCTGCGGCCTGGGAAAAGGCAGCATATTGAGGCGCGGGGCTCTCAGCATCAGGCCCCGGGATGCTAATGAGGGCGAGCGCGTTCCCACAGCCCGGACATTGTGCCGCGCGGCCCACCTGCTCCTCGGGGAGCGACCATTGTGCCCGCGCCAATTCACAGGCAATTTAGCGTGCGCTAATGGGCCGGCGCCTTTGTGCGGCCGGCGCCGCCATTGGCCGCCGAGTGTGGGAACGGCCGCGGCGCCCGGGCCCCAGGCGCCGGGTCGCCGCCCGCGCCTATATAGGGCTGGCGCGCGGGGGTCCGGGCCGCGCCAGCCCGGGACGCCTGGCTTTGCCCGTTCCGCTCCGTTCCGCTCCGCTCCGCTCGCCAGTCCCCTCCTGAGCGCCAGGCATGGCCCCAAGTACCGTGGCGGTGGAGATGCTCAGTCCCAAGGAGAAAAACAGAGTAAGTGCCACTTGCCCGGCGCGCGGCGTCCGGTTTCCCCGGGGCCTCTGGCCGCCGCCGCCCATCTGATGCCTCTCCTCCCGCAGCTGCGGAAGCCGGTGGTGGAGAAGATGCGTCGGGACCGCATCAACAGCAGCATAGAACAGCTGAAGCTGCTGCTGGAGCAAGAGTTCGCGCGGCACCAGCCCAACTCCAAGCTGGAGAAGGCCGACATCCTGGAGATGGCTGTCAGCTACCTGAAGCACAGCAAAGGTGAGCCACGCGCCCACGCCCGCCTCCCGTTCCCCGCCGGTGTCGCTTCCACCGCGCGCGCCCCACTCATGCCGCCCCGTCTACCCGCAGCCTTCGCCGCGGCAGCCGGCCCCAAGAGCTTGCACCAGGACTACAGCGAGGGCTACTCGTGGTGCCTGCAAGAGGCCGTGCAGTTCCTGACCCTGCATGCCGCCAGCGACACGCAGATGAAGCTGCTGTACCACTTCCAACGGCCGCCAGCTCCCACCGCACCTAACAAGGAGCCCCCGGCGCCCGGCGCCGTGCCCCATCCCGTGCGCTCCCCGGCCAAGGCCGCTGCCGCCGTCCCCGCCTCCCGCCAACCCGCCTGCGGCCTCTGGCGGCCGTGGTGACCCCGCGGCCTACGGGTGCTGGGAGCGGACCGGAGGACAGACAAAGCCGGTTCCTCTTGTGTTCGTCTCCGTAAAGGGAAGACCTTGCCTAGGCTGGCTGGCCAGCAAGGAGAGTCATTCTTAGAGAATGCATGTGCAGAGTTGCCATCACTCTGCCGCGTGTCCGACCCCATGGGGTTGTTTTGTGTTTGCATTTCAGCAAGTGACTTCTGGGAAGTCCCCGGTCACCGGGGGTTCTATGATATTTGTAGAGTCAGGGGTGGGTTTGCCGGTGCCCCAGGCTGTAGAGGACTTTCTTCAGGTCCCGTTGCTGCTGGGCAAGCACCCTGCAGGCGGGCTGTGCCCTGGGCACACTTGCCTTTTGTGAAGGCGGAACCGCAGGCGTTTCCTCATAGGAAAGCACTTAGCCTGCGTGGGCATAGGGCCCATGGGACCTCGCCTAAAGGTCCACGTGGCCTTGGCTGTCTGATGCATGCTCATAGTGGGCAGTCTGGGAGGGTGGGTTCTCCACGATGATCCTTAAAGGATTCCTCTGTGTGGGTGGGTGCATGTGGGCACGGTGGTTTTGTACTTAGAATTTGAACTTTTGGTCACGTGAGAGACCACGGACTTCTCTGAAGGCTTCTAATAAAATATCAAGCCCTCCATGTCTGTGCCTCTTATCTGTCTGTCGTTGGCAGCCACAGGGGTGGCCTATCCCAGGACTGGGGATGGGACGGTGGGACTACCATGTTCACAAACAGATCGGGAGTGATTGCTGGAGGTGCTCTAGCAAAGAAAAGCAGAAGGCAAGAGGCAGGAGGTGAAGAGATGCCGGGCACGCAGGGCTGCGGGTGCTCCCACGGTGCACAGGACCTGGGTGGCTCCCAGGGGAGGCTGGGAGGAAGGCATCACAATAACTGTAGGTCCTTCGCTCTGTCTACTGAGATGGGGGCTGGGGGCTGCAGTGCATCTTTCGCTGCAACAAAAAGAGGCTTGGCTGTGTCAAACCTGAGAAAGTACCCATCCAGGGTCTTGCTTTCCTTCCTGCCCCTGCTTATCTAGCTCATAAACGCCCGTCCTCCCTTCCTCCCTCCCAGGAGGCCACTGACTAAGGTCAGGGCTAACCCATTCCATTCAGGCCACGAAGCTGGTAGGGATGGTTCATTGCCTCAGGCAGGGCGTTTACTTTAAGGCAGGCTACAGAAGGTCAGCCAAATCTACAGGACCCGAGAACCACAGCTTCCAGGTGCCCCAAAGTCAAAAACCACAAAGCGAGGAGTGTGTGTCGACACGTTTTCTGAGTGATGGGCCACAGGTGTGGGCCCGGCCCTGCCTTGATCTTTTCCACGCAGGAGTTGTCAACAAACCTTAATCTCTTCCCTCTCTGCCTCCTCTGCCAGTGGCCACCTGGAGTTCCGCTGAGCCCCTAGCTGTAATGAGCAATGAAGGAGAGCCTCCATCTCCACTCACTGTGCTTACCGCAGGGGCATCAGCCCCATCTACAAACAGCGGGAGACCACTCCCTTGTGGTGTGTCCTTCTAAACATGGGACAGGCATACCCCACTGACAGGGACTGAGTTGCCTGGTCATCTTATTCTCAGGAGCAGCTCTGCCACCCGGAGCAGGCTCTCCCGCGCAGAGCATGCCCACCCTGCTGGCAGGCACAGGCGACACAAGGCTGCCTCCTCCCTGGATCAGTCCAGAGACAGGGGAGCTGCGCTTGGAGTGATAGCTTGCAGACAGAACCTGAGAGCAAGATACTAAGTTATGTGTTGGGCCTCTTGGGGGCACACAAGGCAGCAGGAACTCCAGATCACCTCCACTTTGGAGCCCTAGCCCCTCTTCCGGGCACCCTTTCCTCTTTTTTCCCTATACTTTCTGCAGATTGCCATTAAAGGCTCATCTTTCCCAGCTGCAGAATCATGACCTCTCGCGTCTCCCCATATCACTGTCCTCAAGGCTGGGCGCTCCTGAGTGTGTAAGGTCCTTAAAACTACTCCGATTTACATGGGAATGTCAGCATTGAAGGTCGCAAGTCTGTGGGAAATCGGGATGGTGGGTCACCCTATCAGAAATCACTGCAGCTTGCAGGGCCGACCTCACAGCAGGAGGGCGCCAGGCGCCAGGTGGTCTGGCTCAGCACAAGTTAGCATCCAGACCACTCAGCGTAAGAACAGTATTCCAGAAGCTTCGTATTCGTAGTTTGCAGAATAACAGCGCGCTCCCTTTCGCAGTCCTGACCTCTAGGACGGACACTTGTCTGGAGCGTTGGAGAGGCGCGGTCTCCAGCACAGGCGCAGGGGGCGGGGCTAACATTAGCATAATTTATGCACGCGGTCGTTTACCAGTCAATTATATGCGCATATATCTCCATGGCTGATGAGGCTGGCCAGGCACTTTCAAAATGGCGGAACGTGGAGCAAGTGGCGGCGGGAGCGGCGGGGACAGCTTGGACAAGAGCATCACGCTGCCCCCCGACGAGATCTTCCGCAACCTGGAGAACGCTAAGCGCTTCGCCATTGATATAGGTAGCTACGGACCGGGGACTGGGACGGGCGGCTAGAGTAGTGGGCGCAGGCGGCCAGCGGGGGCGGCGGGAAGGACGAAGGGCGGGGGCGCGGGCCATGCGCACAGCCTTACGGGTCGCCGCACAGCCTCTTGGGACTTGTAGTGTGTGCAGCTCCAAAGTGGCGGGGTCGAGACGGCTGTGGGACTTCAGCTCCCGGTAGTCACTGCGCGGTTGGAGCGGGGCATGTCGGGCCTCGTAGTCCGCGTAGTGCCGGCCGATTGTGCTGGCTCCGCTGAGGGACTGGCAAGGCGGGTAGCCTCAGAGCTGCTAGTCTGCTCAGATCCCCTGTGGTTTGGCTGCCGCCGGAGCTCCCGCTTCCCAGACAGCCGTTGAGACGTAGAACCCCGGCACTCGTGCACTGTGGGTGTAAAATTCCCAGCGTGTTCCGTGGCTTTGGATGCCTGCACTACCTCCTACGTCCGCCTCCTGCGTGCCTGGTGGTTGACCTCACTGCCCACCCGCTACAGGCCGGTGGGTCTTATACCCCGTCCCGCGTTGGGCTGCCTCATACTCTCCCTCCTCCCCCACGAGGAGATTCTGTCATCGTCCTTGTGTGCAGATGTGGAGACCAAGGCTAACTTGCTCAGGGGCTCTTTCAATTCGTAGATAACAGAGCTAGGATGGGAGCCGGCCAACTCCCAGCCACTCTGCTGTGCTTCCTGTTATGAGGAGTTTTGCACCCATCTGTTACAGGCGTTTTGCCCGTGCCTCTTGATGCCAGCGTGGTCAGTAGGGCCCACACAGCAGGGCGGCATCCGCTCGCTGTCTTGGACTTAACTCCGTGAATAAATGGCTGTGCTGCCTCCTAGCCTCAGTTAAAAGACTTGAAATCTCTATTTCTGGAATACCGAATGTGTTCTCTACACTCATGCTTTTGGGTTGTCTCTCTGAGGTGCCCTTTCTTGGGGCGAGGAAGAAAAGATAACCCGGTCTGAGCTCCCACTTTGTCCAGGGCTCAGGAGGGTTGGTGATGGGGGAGTAGGCACTAGAAAAGATTCAAGTAGCACCTGAGATAAATGGGTGACTGTGTGGATGTTGGACTGGAACTGGCGAACTTACAGGCCCAGCAGAAGGGAATGTCCACAACCAGACCAAGCCAAAGGCCCCAAGACAGCTGCTCCCAGGCTTCTGGAACCTTCTCTCCAGAGCTAGATTTTGTGTTTTGTCCTGTGGTCTGACACTTGTTTGTTGGGAAGAAGTCAAAATTAAATAAATATGTTTGAAAAGCAATTGAAGTTGATTGCAGATGTCATTTGGCAGTTGAGAAAATAGGGTTCACCTTGGATAATGTATGTGGCTCCCAGAGACCACCGACCTAGTGGCCACAAAGCATGAGCCGAACTGGAGGGTTGTCCCCAAACTGAGGCCAGGCACAGGCTACCTTGACAGAAGGACACTGCAGGGGTATGTTCAGTTGTTCAGTGTTGGTTTTTGTCTCCTCTCTCTGAAAGCTTCCACCAGTGCCTGGGTCCTGGATCTGAGCTTAGAAGGACATGCTTACGGTTCCTGAGGACAAACTTTTTTTTTTTTTTTTTTTTTTTTTTGCTGCAGCTGATGGGAGATCACAACTCATGGAATCCACAGCTCAGGCACCTACAGAACAACATGCTTGTTAGCAGTGTTGTTTAAAAATAGACTTCTCCTGTTTCCTCTTTCCTCACTGTGTCCCTGGATGGAGGAAGCCTCAGCTGTTCTGTGTTCCTGGCGAGCTCTTTTCCTTTCTTGAATGGGGACAGTCATGTCAACTAGGTTGATTCACTCCTGAAAACACAGGCAGGAAGAGACTCCAGGATAGTAAATGCTGGGCTGTCCTGCCCTTCCTTAGTTCTGTGCATGTGGAAGTCAGGACAACTTAGCAGGATTCAGCTCTCTCCTTCCACCCTGTGGGTCCTGGGGATCAAACTAAGGTCATCACACTTGATGGCAAGTACCTTTATCCCATCCATCTCTCTGGCCTCCCTGTACTTTCTGATAAGTTGCTTAAAGTACATTTCTGTCTGTTTGCACAGCCTTGTCTGTTCAGAAATACTGTGTCCTCAGAGGTAAATTAGACAAGAATCAGACAAGCCTGAGGACAGGCTTGGATTGGGGACAGGAAAGAGGGATCAGGAGGCTTAGGACTAAGGCCAGGGATGAGATTAAGTTTATACACTCACTAAACCAAACAAGCAAGGCTGCAGTGTGGTCATTCTTGGTTGCACGGAACAGGCTGCATTGTTTTAGTTTCACTGACGGGGGAGCTCTGGCCTCCAAGCACCCTGGTCCTACAAGTCTATACATTTGAGTATCTGCTCCCTTGTAGTCAGTCCATTAAGTATTTTCTCATAAAAACAAACACTTGGAAACAAAGTAGCGGTTTCGCTTTGCTACTGAGAGACCTTTGCCTTGTTTCTGTCAGGCCTCTGAGCGGTGTAGCTGCAATGGAGTGCTGAGATCCTGGTTTTCCCCATGTGTCGCTGGAAGGCCTGTGAATATGCAATTGCAAC